TGACAGGGGGCGGTGCCCCAACTCCCCAATCAGCCCTGCTCTGAGCCCGACCAGGGGCTGCACCTAGGGATTGGGCCTGCCCTCTGCCACCCAGGAGCAGGCCTAAGCCAGCAGGTCGTTATCTCCTGAGGGGTCCCAGACTGCGAGAGGGCACAGGCCGGGCTGAGGGACCCCCCCTCCTCCCCCGAGTGCACAAATTTTTGTGCACTGGGGCTCTAGTCAAAGTATAATATGCTAATGATATGCTAAGGCCGCTCAACCACTCGCTATGACGTGCACTGACCACCAGGGGGCAGACTCTCCGACCCACAGGTTAGCTTGCTGCTGGGGTCTGGCTGATCGGGTCTGAGTGAGACAGGCTGGACACGCCGGGGAGCCCTCCCGCAGTCCCTTCCTGGCTGGCCAATCTCCTGCATTCCTCCCGGGCCCGATCGTGCACCAGTGGGGTCCCTCAGCCTGGCTTGCACCCTCTTGCAATCTAGGACCCCTCGGGGGATGTCCGAGGCTGGTTTCAGCCCAACGGCGGAATGACCAGTTGCTATGAAGCGCACTGACCACCAGGGAGCAGACACTCAACGCAGGAGTTGCCCCCTGGTGGTCAGTGTGCTCCTACAGAGGAAGGGCCGCTCAGCCAGAAGCGGGGCTCACGGCCGGCAAGTGCAGCAGTGGTAGCAGGAGCCTCTCCTGCCTCCACGGCAGCGCTATGGATGTTGGACATCCCACAAGGGCTCCCAGACTGTGAGAGGGCACAGGCCGGACTGAGGAACCACCCCCTAGAGGGCACGAATTTTGTGCACTGGGCCTCTACTGTTATATATATAATCTCAATGAATCTTCACAATAAACTTGTTGGTATTATTGTTCCCATTGTATAGCTAAGGCTACTAAGAATTAGAAAAGTTAGATAAATTGCTCATGGTCACTCAGCTGATAAGTGGTCACACAGCTAATAAGTGGTAAAACCAAATAAAAGTCTGGTTTGCTTAAAACTTAATGTTTTAAAATATACTTTTACTTTTTAATATCCCCCCCCCCATCAGTCTCCTTGAGAGTAGCAACTACAGTTACATATCCCAGCACTTAAACGCTTTCTGAATTAAAAATGAATATATTTATATTAAAGTAGTTTGGAAATGTCTACCTGGAAAAATTTTGTAGGTATGAAGCTCTGTATTTATTTAAAATTAGTAATACCAGATTAAAATTCTAAAACTTATTCATGAACCTTTACATAATTAATCTGAAAGCAAGATTTTACTGTTTCTCACTTAGAAAGAAAAATGTTTAAACTTACTATCTCCCTTCAACAGGTTCAATGTCCAGGCTGTTAACTCCATTGCTGTGGATCCTTTCAACATCTCTGTCTTTGTTTAACTCCAGTCCCAAAACCCTTTAAAAAATATATAAAAATTAAACAAGGGGGGAAAAAGATAAAATTAAACAATAAGAAAATAATTCAAACATAAAAAATGTCCTTAATCTTACTAAGATTACATATAGTACAAAAATCACAAGTAGGCCCTGGCCAGGTGGCTCAGTTGGTTGGAGCATCATCCCACATGCCCAAAAGGTTACAGGTTCACTCTGATCAGGGCACATACCTAGGTTGTGGGTTCGATATAGTGTTTCTCACATCCATATTTCTTTCTCTCTCTCTGCTTTCCTATTTTTCCAAAATCAATAAAGACATATCCTTGGGGGGTAGGGGAGACTTAAAAAATGCAAGTAATGCTTAAGTCTCTTTCTACCAGACATCCAAAAATTTTTATGGATTTTTAAAGACCTTACACAAATTTTTAAAATACTAACAATTATATGTAAAGAATTTTTCCTGAAGTACTATCTTAAACTTAATATATATAGGTTTCAAATGTAGGTTTCTATGTTACAAGATCTGTATATTATACCATGTGCTCACTACCCAAGGTCAAATCTTCTACTGTCACCATATATTAGGACCCTCTTAGCCCCTAACCCAGCCGTGGGCAAACTACGGCCCGCGGCCTGGATCCGGCCCGTTTGAAATGAATAAAACTAAAAAAAAAAAAAAGACCGTACCCTTTTATGAAATGTTTACTTTGAATTTATTAGTTCACACAAACACTCCATCCATGCTTTTGTTCCGGCCCTCCGGTCCAGTTTAAGAACCCATTGTGGCCCTCGAGTCAAAAAGTTTGCCCACCCCTGCCTAACCCTTTCCCTCTGGCAACCACCACACTCCTGTTTGTGATCATGAGTTTCAGTTTTATATCCCACATATGAGTGAAATCATATGGTTCTTAGCTTTTTCTGACTGACTTATTTCACTTAGCATAATGTTCTCAAGGTCTATCCACGTTGTTACAAATGGTGCTATTTCATCCTTCCTTATGCCTGAGTAGTAGTCCATTGTGTATATGTGGCACATCTTCTTTATCCAGTCCTTTAAACTTAATTTAATGAGTGTATTTTATTAAATTTTTATTCAGATATTTAGAAACATATTTTCATGAAAATTTAAATTGATAAATTCAGCTGAGGACACCTAGTGGACAAAAGCTTAAATTACAGTATGTTAAATAAATTCCCATGAGTATTTCTTATGCCTTAAGTATAAATATAAAATGAGTATGTTTAACTCAACAATTAGGCACACTTAAATAAAGCCAATTAAATATTTATATAAATAAGTACTCTCATAAATTAAGATGAATGAAACTTCTGATATTCCATAACTGTAAACCATCATTATTCTGGTCAGGCTATTAAATGAGTTAATACATAAAAAGTGCTCATTACAATGCTTAGATATAGTAAGTGCCTAGTGAATGTTAACTATTAAAATATGTCTCAATCTCTTGCATGTTAAAAATAATTTACATTAATTTAACCAGAATGATTTCTAAATTCATTATTGATGAATACGATGCTAATTTATATGAAATGTTTACCCCACCAAATTAATCAGTTTTTTTTTAAACAATGCAGTGCTAGAAAAGTTTCAAACTGATATTTTTATGGCAGTACTGATAATTTAAAGCATTTTGGATATCATTTTAGCAGTAGCAAGTTGATTTAAAGATATATACATGGCCCTTTGTCTTCTGGAAGGCAGTTTAGCCATAGGTTCACTTACTACTTCTCTGACATTGCCCAATAACAATAACAATAACAGTTAATATTAAAAACCTGCTATTTAATGACACTGTAATCAGTGGAAATAATAAGTATAATAAGTGGTAATCCTAACTGGCAGATTTCCTAGATAGTAGGTTACATTATTAAATGCTTTCCCTGAATTTTAAACTAAGATATAAGTAATTTGTCCAAGGTCATTCATCTAATAATTAGCTGAATTGCATCTGAACTCTGACTTTTTTTTCCTCCAGATCACCATGCTGTCCTGACATTTCTGAACTTCCACCAGAAAATAGTTGCTCCCGTTGAAATTCCATTTCTTCTTAAAATATTTTTCCATTTGATGATTATTCAAATTATGACAGTAATATGTGTTTCTTGTAACAAGTAAAATATCAAACTAACATGTGCCAAGGTAATCAATCATCCCTGCCTTGAGTTCTCTTCTAACAATGAGAAACATGGCTTTTATTATCATTAATGTGTTTATTTATCTGGTCAGTCCCCCTGTATATAACTAATCTCCCATCATCGCTACCATCCCCTTCGCCAACAAGGATGCTACTCGGGAGACTTGGGCTTTGATTTCTGCTCTCCGAACACCCGTATCGCCTTGAGCTTGTGAGTTCCCACGCTTAGACCACCTCCTCAGGCTCTGAAATATCACTCTGGGCCAACCTCATTCCTGTTTGGAAGCCTACCTCTGCCCAACCTAAAGACTTTAGGACTGAATTGTTTGGGAACTATGAGAGGTTAAAATGAAGGGAAAGTGGGAGGGTAATAAGATAGGCAAACAGTGGTGAGGTGTGTGTGGAAGGTGTGCAAAAAAAAAGAGTTAATATAGCAGGTCTGAAACTGCTATCCTTAGAAAGGCTTGCTTGCAAGATTGGCCCTTGCCTGGTTTCTGGGATGGGAATGGTTCACTGGATGAGAACGGTTCGCTGTGCCTAAACTATTTGAAGCAAACAATATACTTTATGTTGAATACCTGCTTCCCTTCTGGGAGGCTGGCATTTTTATACATTCTAGCTAGCTACATGCGTGTACATACACGGAATTTTGGTACAGGCGCCAAAAGAAGAGTAAAGCCGAGTTTGGTAAGTGATAAGGCCAGAAAGTGTGAGGCAAGGGTAACACAGCTATTGGTCCAATTTTTAACTGGCCTATTAGAAAAAAGAGTAATGTTTTCTATACCTTCGTGTGGACTCCGCTCTTCGTAGGTGAAGAGGGTCGTCCAATCCGGCTTGTCGCGCCGACAAAAACCCTAGCATCCCGGTCTCCTGCGCAAGTAGGAACCCTGGACGCGGCCATGACAGGGCTCGGGGGCGGGGCTCTAACAATGGAGCCTCCCATTGGTAGAGCCAAGAAGCCATCTGACGAATGGTGAGCGCCGTTACTGGGAGGGCGTGCGGCAAGTGGGAGTTCTCGGGCTGGTGGGCGGGGCGTTCTTGTTTCTGTCGCGGCGGATCCGGCTGCAGCTCACGCTGGGGTCCGGGGGGCCGCCATGGGTTGGTCTCAGGATTTGTTCCGCACCATGTGGAGAGCGCTGTCCAAGGAAGTGAAGGAGCTAGTGGGCACAGACCAGTTCGGGAACAAATACTACTATATCCCGGCGTACAAGAACTGGAGAGGTGAGATGACAGCGAGGGCAACGGCGGCGCGATCAGGAACTGGGGGAAAAGTAAGGGCGCCTCGTAAACTAATGCAACGTGCGACACTGTGTTGTCACCTGAGGGGACAGTCCGAGTTCGTTCGCCCCGCCACCCGTTCACCTTGGTGGTTTTCACTGATCGCTTTCGTGCCGCGGCCCGGCGCGGTGTGTGCCCGCCGTCCGTG